ACTCATTTTTTGGTGGATTTTGGCAATTCTGAGGAGGGATTCTGAACCCCAAGAACCTGGAGCAAAGCTGGGAGCACCCAGGAACAAATCCCTGACTTTTAAGGAGCTCTTCACCCTCAGAATCCCCCACTGAAAACCACTGACATGGAAGAACCCGAACTCCTTCAGTCAGCAATCTCCCAAATTTTGGTGAATCCTGGGAATTCTGAGGAGGGAATCTGATCTGCAAGGACCTGGTGGAAATCTGGGAACAACCAGGAACAAATCCCTCATTTTTAAGGAGCTCTTCACCCTCAGAATCCCCTGCTGAAAACCAACAACATGGAAGAACCCAAACTCCTCCAGGCCATCTCCAAACTCATTTTTTGGTGGATTTTGGTGAATCCTGGGAATTCTGAGCAGGAAATCTGACCTGCAGGAACCTGGTGGAAATCTGGGAGCATCCAGGGACAATTCCCTGCTCCCAGAAACAATTTCCTGGTTTTTAAGGAACTGTTTCCCCTCATAAGCTCCTACTGAAAAGCACCAACACGGAAGAGCCCAAACTCCTCCAGGCCATCTCCAAACTCATTTTTTGGTGGATTTTGGTGATTCCTGGGAATTCTGAGGAGGGAATCTGACCTGCAGGAACCTGGTGGAAATCTGGGAGTACCCAGGAACAAATCCCTGTTCCCACAAACAAATCCCTCATTTTTAAGGAGCTGTTTCCCCTCAGAGTCCCCCACTGAAAAGCACCAACATGGAAGAACCCGAACTCCTCCAGGCCATGTCCAAACTCATTTTTTGGTGGATTTTGGTGGATTTTTGGCAGCTCTGAGGAGGAAATCTGACCTGCAGGATCCTGGTAGAAATCTGGTAGCATCCAGGAACAAATCCCTGAATTTTCAGGGGCTGTTTCCCCTCAGAATCCCCACTGAAAAGCACCAACACCGAAGAACCCAAACTCCTCCAGGCCATCTCCAAACTCATTTTTTGGTGGATTTTGGTGAATCCTGGGAATCCTGAGGAGGAAATCTGACCTGCAAGGACCTGGATCAAAGCTGTGAGCACCCAGGAACAAATCCCTGAATTTTCAGGAACTGTTTCCCCTCATAAGCTCCTACTGAAAAGCACCAACATGGAAGAACCCGAACTCCTCCAGGCCATCTCCAAACTCATTTTTTGGTGGATTTTGGTGGATTTTTGGCAGCTCTGACCTGCAGGAACCTGGTGACGTCGTTGATGGCGTTCCTGAAGACGTACTCGTCCTTCTGGCAGTCGAACCAGCCCAGCTTGGTGATCCTGGCGTAGAGCTGGATCAGCGCCTGCGTCACGAACGTCGCCAGCTTCGGCCTCGTGGCCAGGTAGTTCAGCACATAATTCCCTGAAAAACGAGGAAAACGTGGAGCTGCAGGAAAAATCCAGCTCTGGGGGAATGGCCTGAAGGAAAAAGGAGCTTTGGGGAGGTTGGTTGGAGTGGGGGAAATGGGAAAAATGTTGGGAATGAGAGAGAAGTGTTGGGGTTTTGTTTGGGAGTTTAAGATGGTGGGAAGGGGTGGATTTAGGTTTGGAATAAACCTAAGATAAGGTTGGATTTAGCCCCCAATCCCTAGGATTTTTTTGGTTAGCCCCAAGGGTTTTTAGGACAATCCCAAGGATTTTTGGGCCAATCTCAAGAGGTTTTTAGGACAATCCCAATTGTTTCTGGGAAAAATCCCAAGGGGTTTTTAGGACAATCTAAAGAAGATTTTGGGACCAATCCCAAGGGATTTTTGGGACACTCACACAGGATTTTTTTGGGAAAATCTCAAGGAGTTTTGGGACCAATCCCAAGGGATTTTGGGACAATTCCATGAATTTTTGGGACAATCAATCCCAAGCGTTTTTTGGGACAATCACACAGGATTTTTTGGGAAAACCTCAAGGATTTTTGGGTCAATCCCATGGATTTTTGGGACTAATCCCAAGGGATTTTGGGACAATCAATCCCAAGCATTTTCTGGGCCAATCCCAAGGATTTTTTGGGTCAATCCCAAGGGGTTTTTGGCACAATCAACCCAAGCGTTTTTTGGGACAATCACAAGGTTTTTTTTGGGAAAATCTCAAGGATTTTTGGGCCAATTCCATGGATTTCTGGGCCAATCAATCCCAAGGATTTTTGGGACCATCACACAGGATTTTTTTGGGAATATCTCAAGAATTTTTGGGTCAATCCCATGGATTTCTGGGCCAATCCCAAGGATTTCTGGGCCCATCCCGGGCACTCACGGATGTCGATGCGCTGCTCCAGGGGCAGGGGGTTGTTTGTGCGCGACACCAGTTTGGTAAGGCAGGTGGCCGCCAGCAACTGCGAGTAGGAGGACTGGAAAAAAAAGGGAAAAAATTCCCAAAAAAACAACAACAACAAAAAAAGGAAATTTTAAATTTTATCTCATGGAACATAAAATTCATAGAAAGTAAGATTAATGGAATTTATTTTAATTCATGGGTTTGAAGCAAATTGCAGCCCAGGAGTTGAAGGGAAGCAGCTCCCACCTGGGAAGGATGCACATTCCACAAATTCCACAAATTCCACAAATCCCACAGATTTACTGGGATAAAATCCCCAAATTTCACAGGAATTTTGCAGGAATTTACAGGAATTTTGCAGGAGCTAACTGCAGGAATTTTAAAGGAATACTGCAGAAATTTTGCAGGAATTCTGCAGGAATTTTGCAGCAATTTACAGGAACTTTGCAGGAACGAACTGCAGGAATTTTAAAGGAATTTTACAGGAATTAACTGCAGGAATTTTAAAGGAATTCCGCAGGAATTTTGCAGGAATTTTGCAGAAATTCTGTAGAAATGCCCAGGAATTTTGCAGGAACAAACTGCAGGAATTTTAAAGGAATTCTGCAGAAATTTTGCAGGAATTTTGCAGCAATTTGCAGGAATTTTGCAGGAGCTAACTGCAAGAATTTTAAAGGAATTTTGTGGGAATTTTGCAGGAATTTTAAAGGAATTCTGCAGGAATTTTGCAGAAATTCTGTAGAAATCCCCAGGAATTTTGCAGGAACAAACTGCAGGAATTTTAAAGAAATTTTGCAGGAATTTTAAAGGAATTCTGCAGGAATTTTGCAGCAATTTGCAGCAATTTACAGAAATTTTGCAGGAACGAACTGCAGGAATTTTAAAGGAATTCTGCAGGAATTCCATGATTCTGGGGAATTTTTGGGAATGTTTGGGAATATTTACGATTTATTCACGCTGCCTCTCTCAAGGAGCAGCTGGCACTTGGGGAATGTTGGTGAACCCCACACGGACATGGAATCCCAGGATTTTAGGGAATGTTTGGGATGTGGAAATCCACAATTTTGGGCAATTTCTGGGATGTGGGATCCCATGATTTTTGGGAATGTTTGGGAATATTTGGAATATCAGGCTGCCTCTCTTGAGAAGCAGCTGGCACTTGGGGCCCTTGGTGAACTCCATCAGGGAATGGAATTCCATGAATTTGGGGAATTTTTGGGAATTCTGGGGAATTTGGGGAATTTCCTGGATGTGGAATTCCATGACTTTGGGGCAATTTTTGGGATGTGGAATTCCACAATTTTAGAGAATGTTTGGGATGTGGAATCCTATGATTCTGGGGAATGTTTGGGATGTGGAATTCCATGATTTTGGGGAATTTTTGGGATGTGGAATTCCAGGATTTTGGGGAATTTCTGGGATGTGGAATTCCAGGATTTTAGGGAATTTTTGGGATGTGGAATCCCAGGATTTTGGGGAATTTTTGGGAATTTTCAGGAATATTTAGGGGCTATCAGGGCTGTACTGACGCTGCCCCTCTCGAGCAGCAGCTGGCACTTGGGGAATGTTGGTGAACCCCACCAGGACATGGAATCCCAGGATTTTGGGGAATGTTTGGGATGTGGAATCCCATGACTTTATGGAATGTTTGGGATGGGAAATTCCACAATTTTAGGCAGTTTTTGGGATGTGGAATTCCGTGATTTTGGGGAATGTTTGGGATGTGGAATTCCGTGATTTTAGGGAATTTTTGGGATGTGGAATCCCAGTATTTTGGGCAATTTCTGGGATGTGGAATTCCGTGGTTCTGGTGAATGTTTGGGATGTGGAATCCCATGACTTTGGGGAATGTTTGGGATGTGGAATCCCATGACTTTGGGGAATGTTTGGGATGTGGAATCCCAGTATTTTGGGCAATTTTTGGGATATAGAATTCTGTGATTTTGGGGAATTTTTGGGATATGGAATCCCAGGATGTTGGGGAATGTTTGGGATGTGGAATCCCAGGATTTTTGGGAATGTTTGGGAATATTTGGGATGTACTCACGCTGCCCCTCTCAAAGAGCCGCTCGCACTTGGGGCAATTGCTGAACCTCACCAGAACATGGAATCCCATGAATTTGGGGAATGTTTGGGATGTGAAATTCCACAATTTTGGGCAGTTTTTGGGATGTGGAATTCCAGGATTTTGGGGAATGTTTGGGATGTGGAGTTCCATGATTTTAGGGAATTTTTGGGACTTGGAATTCCACAATTCTGGAGAATTTTTGGGAACTCTGGGGAATTTCTGGGAATATTTTGGGAGTGTTTGGGATGTACTCACGCTGCCCCTCTCGAGCAGCAGCTGGCACTTGGGGCCATTGCTGAACCCTACCAGGACATGGAATCCCAGGATTTTCGGGAATTTTGGGGAATTTTTGGGAATTTTCGGGAATGTTTAGGGCTGTACTCACGCTGCCCCTCTCGAGCAGCAGCTGGCACTTGCTCAGGCACTCGGGGCTGTTGGTGAACTCCACCAGCGCCTTCTCGGCCTGCAGGCGCGTGCCCGTGTCCGTGGTCTCATAGAGCTGCTTGCACAGGTTCTCCAGCTGGGCCAGGCTCTGCAGGGGGACAGGGAATGTGGGGATGGGAATGGGAATGTGGGAATGGGG